ATATATATTCATGCATTTTTAATTAATATTAATATCTTAGAAAAGATATATTGTATATTACATTGATATATTTGTTATAAATATTTAATTTGTAAATTTTATATTGCCTAAGATGTGTCACAAATATAACGAAATTGGTTTTTACAATCGAAAGGCCGCGGAAAATCGTTCTAAAAATCGACGTTTTTTTACCGCGTCTATCGATGACACGTCCATCGCGATAACAAATCCCCCGCCGAGGAAATGTTAATTCGTTCGAAGTATATGCGGGTCAGAATAGAATTAATAATGTCAAAGCGACTTAGAGCAACGTAGAAGAAAGAAATAAGAAGGAGCTCGATGCGTACTCGAGAGAAAGTCATTTCCCTCTTTCCCGAAGGACGGAAAACAGGGATGTGAAGTGGCGCGGTGAAGAAATGTGCGGGTCTCTCCGAGAAACGTTCCCAGAGTTTTTTTTTTCTCTTTAACCTTTCGGTCGCGCGCGTTTTCTTCTCTCATTTATTGCCGCGCTTCTTATTACGCACGTCGCGAAACAAAAAAAAAAGAAAAGTTCGAACAGAAAAACGACTCTCTTTTTCTCTCGATACACTCTCTCTCTGTGCCGTCGTCATGGCTACTGCGTCAGACCGAACCGGAATAATCGCCGGGATTTTACGAGGAGTGTGTCTCGATACGTATTGGGCCACTCTCGCGCGCGCGGGCCTTGTTGCGAAGTTGTATCTCTGACGTCAGAAGTTGCCTGGCGTTGATTAAGGAAAGTATCCGCTCGCAACCTGATGATACAGGCAGAATCCGACGCATTTTCCGCGCACTTTATTTTACTTTTAAAAAAATAATAACAAAACAGTAATAACTAAAAGGTAATTAAATAAACAACCCAAAGATGGATAAACACTCAAGAGTGTTCTTAATAAAAGAAATTTTGAAAAAAATCAAAGTACGGAGAAATGCTGATTTGATATTTAACTTTGCTTAAAAAAATTAAAAATCTTTGTCCTCTTTTTTCTACTTCTTTTTCCTCAAGATAAAGGAGAGCTCAAAAGATATTTTTCGAAAAGTTCGTACGAGGAGGATTATAGAATTACGCTCTCTTCGGAGAAATATGATATATCTATCATCTGTCACATTGTTAGTACCCATTAACCGCATTTCACGTAGTAAAATTGTCGACTGCAGAAGGAGACACAAAGCACAGAGAGAGAGAGAGAGAGAGAGAGCGAGAGAAGAGGGCAATTTCCTGCTCTTTACTTGAGTGCCACCTCTGTCCGAAGTTGTTCAACCGTAGCGTGTGTCTGTGGAAGTGGCGTGCTCCCACTTTGAATCCTGAGCTATTGTGAAAAGTCGCAACGCTACTTGTGGATTTGCGCTTTGCGTTTTTTTTTGTTTCTTTTTTTTTTTTTCACACGTAAGATCTCACGCGAAATCAAGTCGAAATGCATATAACACTATGGACTTGGTGAAGAAAAAAGAAACAAAAAATTGAGACAGAAGCGAGCAAATCCTTTATAGATCTCTCCGGATTTACGGAAAAAGCGTGTTATATTTTTCATCCGGAGAATTGCGACCCTCGTTTTTCGCGTTCTTTTCTCTTATCTCTCGGCGCTCTCTCTCTCTCTCTCTTGTGAAGCGCGACTTCAAGAACGCTATCTTATTATTCAACAAGCATTCGTTTTCTCGATAGCCGCGGAAAAGCTATCACCAAATGTAATGCATTATGTATGAGAGCGAGATATATACGAGCCTCGTTGTTTCTGAGAACGTGTTCGACTATTACGGGGAAAGTGGTGACCATTGCTGAGAGAGAAAAACTGACCGTATATATTTTTTGTTAGAATATCAAATCGCAAAATCATAAGAGAGAAGGAAAGAGAGAGTATAAAAATACACATAAAGGCATTTGTGTGCAAAAAACGTAACCAGCGCGATCGCAGCACCGAAACGTAATTAATGGATCTTGAATTTCTTTTGCCGTGTAAAACAGAAAAAAAAACAAAAAAGATCTACTGAGAAAATTAGCGACTTATCCGTCCAGATGAAGAATGGGAACGCGAACTAAATCAATCGGGAATCTGAAAAGAAAGAACGTGAGGACAAGAGTATTCCATTAACCGCTAACGCGCGGTCACTTCGTGGCACGTGGTCCTTGATTTAAAAGCGGCATTGGCGAAAATTGAAGTACTTTCCTTCTCCTGTTGTACTCGCCACAAATTGACTTATTTTTCTTCGATTTGTTGACGGAGCAACAATTATACATTGACGTGACAATTAGATTTTTCTTAGATTTGTTGACTGTCATTCTCACGTAGAATCAGATAATTGAACCAACGTGTGTGTGATATGTCAGTAAACAAAACTATATAAACAAACTTATAAAAAATATAAAATAATGTTGTGGGGCGTAATCAAATCTTTCTGACGAAGAAGATTAACTTCTTCTCGCGATCGAGAGAATTAATTTCTTTCAGAAACAATAACGCGATAAAAACTTAATGCTCAAATCATCAATAAACAATTGATTATCTTTTTTATTTTATCGTTAAAAAATGACATTGTCGATCAAATTTTATAATGAATAAACCGCCCAAAACAATATTTACATCAGCTAAAAACAGCTGCCGGGGAGGGACTTGACGTTTGCATCGTTTGCTCGACATGACAGCTCTGATAACCTAAGGTACTCGCATCACGAGCGCACGCATCGAGATGATAATAGCGCAATGATAAATTAACAGTTAAGAGCAGAGTTATTGCAGAATTATTTCTATCGATCATTCGATCCTGATAAGAAATTCTTGACGAGAATATAAAAAGATATATTTCCGAGGATTGTCGCGCGTTAATGTGGTTGAAAATAAAATCAGTTTTTTTTTTTTTTTTTTTTTTTNTACCACACAGAGCACATTTTTTGCGTCATGCGACAGAGGAATGCGACACTGTGAAAAATGGAAACGGTGAGATATTACGCGAACTTTATAAATCCGCACTGGATAGCCGTGGTGGCAACGGGACTGTACACACATATCCGGCAAATCTGCGTGATCGGTCTTTGCAGCATGCAGGAGAAACCAGCTTTCGAGGCGTACTCGCCGTACGCCTCGCTACTGTTCGTCTTCTCCGTTTTGTGCTTGCTAGCGGAATACAGACTCTGGCCCATAACTCTCAAAGAACCGCCCATTCAACTGCTTTATATTTATGAGGTGAGTCCTCGTCGTAATTATTACTTTTCTTTGGGCCTCGCCTTATTGTATTGAGTCAATTCGGAAAAGAAGGAGTGGCAACGCAAAGAGAATAAACGAACAAAACGAGAAATTGTCAAACAACATTGTCGTTGAGTGTCTTTTTGTACGTATATCTTGCAGATGTTAATAGCGGCACTGAGTACCAATTTGGCAATTCATATGGTGTGGATACCAATGATGGACTCGATTTATTGTCTAACTCAATTGTCCAGTGAGTGGGTAAATGACCGTTTTTCTTTTATACGGTTTCTAATAACAATATTGCAAATTTTGGAAGCGCGTGTAGGCTTTGCGGATGAAAATACACGTTCGAAATTATTGCGCGCGTTTTTTTAGTTGAACCAGCTGAACGATTCTATGGGATTGGATAGTTACTCCTGGCTGAACACGTTTGCTGATTACATGGACACGAACACCGCGCCCATGTACATGGCGTATTGCGTGTCGTTGTTATCGTTCGCTTGGATGTTGGACGCGACCGAATCCTTGGACACGTTTCTGGACACATGGAGCAAGTAGTGAATTCTGACACTTCGCGAATCTTTCTGCAAATCTCTTATTCCGCGAACTTACACCGCGACATGTAATAAATGACGTCATAAATAATCGAACAAACGCAATGAAATAACGATTCGATTTGTGTGTCTCTCTCTCTCTCTTTCTTTCTCGGAAGAAGACACGCGCAGGTCGCGAATATTATTACGAGGCGCCATCGCAAACGCAAAAGGAAGAAAATCAGGTTCAGTAATCCCGAAGTGACACACTCGTTCTTTTACAAACTCTGTCGGATGAAACCGTTCGTGACAAATTGCAGAATGTAAGCTCGTCGACAGTTTGATGCATATTTCTTTTATTGTTTTATTATAACGTCATTGCTTATTGTATACTCTCTCTCTCTCTCTTGTGTTTATAATAAATATATTTTTACACAAGTTTCATCCGCGTATCTGATATCGTGTGGATATTTTTTTGTACATACAAAACATACGCGCGTTACATGTTATTGAATTTTACACGCATCTTATTTAATCAACAATCTGATAAAAAAAAAAAAACTGAATATTGCAAAGAGCTGACTTCATACTAAAAAAAAAAAAAAATATTGAAAGCATTTCTTATATTTTATACGCAACGTTGTAACCTATATCTTCAACTAAATCTCAAATGTAATTGTTCGATATTTGTAATCTCCAAAATGGCCCGGTTACTGAACACAATATGGGCGTTAATGCTCAACAGACTGGGAATATCGATTTTTCGCACGTGTTTCGCGAACGCCTTCGAAGACGATTACGGTATTCCCTTCGTACTAAGCCCACCGTTCACCTCTTTCTTAATCGCGACGGGCGTTTACGTTATCGTCGTCAGTTTCACGCTGTTTCCACAATCTCTTCGAAAACCGCCACTTGTCTTTCTCTACTTGTACGAGGTTAGTGATGAAAGAAAGAAATTTTTTTGTTTGCTCGCACAATCTAATTTTCTTATCGCGACCCTTTTTGCATCTTTCCGATTGCAGTTTCTGGTAACAGCGTTCATTTTGGAATTTGCGATCGCCTGTTTGTGGACGCCGATAGACGTGTTCGTCTTGAGCGTATGGCCGGAGAATATCTGTCACGTAATGTAAAACGCGATATCTGTTTGTTTCCGCTCGTTTGGCGGACGGTAATAGTTTTTTTTTTTTTTTTTTATCAACGAAAAGCTACTTAAAACGTCATCTCCGCATCATTGCGTAGAAACGCAAGTTTCACTACTTGTGAGTCAGAATTACTAGCAGATTCACATTAAAGTTAGAACTTGTCGACTTCGAAACAGATGCTTCGTCGAGTGGGACTGGAAGACGCGGCCCGAACGGTGAATGCGAATAAGTCGTCTATGACACTCGTCACGAATGGATTAGCGACGACGTTTTTTCTAATTACTCTTCACGTTACGAGAGCCGTCGACTTCAAAGACCTAACGTGAGTTTTCGTAACGAGTTTTCTGTTGTCGATGAAGTTTTGCAACGGTGTCGGCAATGTCAAATCAAAAACAGACATTGGTATACTCGTGTATTGAGTCAAAAAGACACGCAACAATTCATAAGTTTTGATTGGAAATACAGGGAGAACGGAATGACACATTTTCTCTCGCAATCGATGACGAAACTGTGGCAACGTGTGCAAAGCGAATTTCAAGAAGGTGAATAAAAAAAAAAAAAATTAAGCCCAACATACAAAATCGAGTCTAAAAATTGCAACAACGATCGGAGAGTAAATCATCAGTCAACGCAAGTGGAATTTAAGTAAGAGTGAAAAAAAATCTGGCAAGAAAGATTTAAAGAACCTAAAACAAACGAAACGATAATTCGATTGAGAATTTTCGAAGTTAAAAATTTGCGTGAGTATTTGTGCACACAACAAGACGATGTGCGGGTGAGAGGAAAGGAAATTTGTGTGTATTCGAGTAAAAAACAAAAACGTCCGAATTTCAACGTTGTCACTTCATTGAACATTTTATGAAAAAGAAGGCATTTATTTCGTTCGAACTAAAGTGTAAAGTACAAATGGTATAGATAATATAGTGGTAATAATGTAATAATTATAATCGTTAATAAATATCAATTCAATTAATAATACGGTGTGTCCCAGTATACTGCGGATATTATTAATATTATCATTATTATTATTATATATATATATATGTATATGGTAATTGTACTAATGGGATGTGTTCAGTGGCAGCGTTATACATTATGTAATAATATATGTATATTTTACAATGATTTTTTTTTCTCTCGTTTTATCGACCGATACGTACAATTCAATTCTTTGTTCTCTTTCTTATTCTCTGACGTTTCTCTGTAATTATGAAAAGACACACCTCTCGTACGCGCGTATAAAATATATATAAAATACTTGTTTGTTTGTTTGTTTTTCATCACGAAACCTCACAAGCTTGTTTAGATGTAACTCTTGTGCTTTAAAAATCGCGAATTGTATTCTAACGAAAACGATTGCCTTTGATTGCTCTTAGGTAAAATATTGCTTGGAATCTATAATCGCGTTATGCAGTTTTTTTCTACATGAAAAATAAAAAAGAAGTGCAGTTTCTAAGACAAAAATATTTAAAAATTCTTCAAAGAATATATATATATGTAATATTTGTTGTATATATATAAAATTTACTTTTAATAAACAGGTCTGATATTTAAAGTTGACAATTTACTTTCCATATGTGATAACCATGATTAAAAAACATTTGTCTCAAAATGGTTTTTGATTGGTTATTCAAAATCAGCGGTGACACAAAAAAACCCGAGAGGTGTTCTTCATTTTCCTTCCATAGGATACGAAACTGATGTCAGTTTTCCATTTTTTTTTTCTTTTTTTTTTCATCTCTTTTGTTCTCGTCTGTCACTCATTGTTTTCTTTTTCTGCGAAACTAAACGAAATTTGATAAATGTTAATTACGCACGAGTTCACGCTCGCGCTCGGCCCTGTGTAGTATCCCCGTTAATAGAGTATATTACATCTTTGTGCACAATTATATAGGCAGTGCTCAGAAAAGATTGAGGATATGTTAGTGTAGCTTTCCTCTTTTTTTTCTTTTTTTTTTAGTTTTCTGCAGTCTCGGTAAAAATGTAAAATGAGATCGTTTTTAAAAAATTTCATAAGTACGTACTTAGAATGATAAAAATTTTGTATCTGACGAGAGAACGCTCGAACTGATGCGTCTTTGCCGATTTCTTTTTTTTTTAATCTTTTTTTTTTTTTTTTAAAAAATTTTTTTTATTTTTTTTTTTTAATCTTTTTTTTTTTTTTTTTTGTTTGCTTTAATTATACGCGCCAACGAAGCAAGCACTAATAAACACTAGTCTAACAATAATACGACTTGATATAATATGACTTGAGCCGAATCTTTTATAATATTAAATTACACCAATCACGACAATTGTGTAGTGGAATGAATCTAAGGAACATCGTTGCCTTAATTTACCTTCTTTGAATATATTCGCGTTTTCTTTTTTTTTTCTTTGTGTTAAATATATATATTTTTTTTATTAATTCCTTTCCTATTCTCGACTCGAATTTTTCTTCAACTCGTATATCTCGTACATTCTCAACAGTGTTCATTAAAAGTAAGTACGATTTAAATCAGGCGACGGCATCGCAAAACTGAGAAATTGTGGCGTTCATCGACAAGCGACAGTTTCGCGAATTTTTTCTTTCCCATATTCCTTTCCGATTGTTTTCTTCGGAATTTTTTTCGTTTTCTCGCAGCGGTACATAAGCGCGTACGCGTATTTCTTCGCCGACAAAGCGATTTAAAGCGATCGAGGTGCACGGGTCGAGCGTAGAGGAGACTTCGAGGCTCATCGATGCGCAGATCAATCGCCATCTAATATCGCGGATCTAATTTCTCATTGTCGATATATTTAGTTGAAATATTGACTTGTGATTTTCTTTTTTCTATTCATCGCGCGTAAAGATTCTCTTTGTGTCTTCGAATTTGGTTCGTTACATTATCGAATCGCATTTTTTAAAATAAAAAAAGTACAACAATTTGTTCTTCCTGTTTTTCTTTAGATCCTCGAAATTGAACGAGCGATCGATCGTGTGCTCACCGATGCGCTAAAGCGGCACACTCGCATAATTCATCAGATTGCTTTTCTTGCCACTGCACACACGCGACGCGCGCTCGCGCGCTACTCAATACAGTTACTCAACGATAATTTTTCTTTCGTCCTCCAATAATCCCCATTCGAATACTGTCTCTGCTTAGAATCTACGTGACACGGGACCGGAGTCAATGACGGGAATGTCTGGAGAAAACTAAGGGATCTAGGGACGAATGGGTGAATTTCGATGAGTCGAACTCGCGAGCACCGAGAGAGAGAGAGAGAGATGTGTATGTGTGTGTGTGTGTGTGTAACAAATGTTTCTTTTTTGTGTGCGAGGGACATTATTTATTTATTTATTTATTATCAATAAAACAAACGAAGAGAAGAACTTCGGGTGTTTAAAGCTTCCCGGACAAGCTTCTTTCGTTCGAAAAAGTTGTTACGAAATTGTTTGATAAAGTGTATATATATAAAGCGTTATAGAAAATTTCTTATTGCGAGTTCGCGCGCTTCGAGCGCGAGCTCGAATATGCGCGCGTGTTATCTGCACACGATTGCGTTTAAATAAAAAAAAAAAAAACTGTATCTATCGCTTCTTCTGTGTGTGTGTGAACTTCTTCTGTTTCTCTGAAGTAGATTTATTGCTGCGGGCAAGGTAAAATCGTGTGTGCCATTCGTTGTTCAGTTCGAAAGGATTGTGTTTGTCTCTACTTCAAAGTTTGCAAGTTGCGTAATCTCTGATATCTATTAAACGTCTTTTTGAGATCTTGGCCGGCTGTCACGCTCAGTGCTCGCAGTTTTCAGGAACAACGATAGTACGCGGGACGTTGGTGTTTGTGTATGTATGTATGTGTGAATGTGTGTGTGTTTTTGTGTGGATACATATATATTTATACGCAACTTAATATCACAAATTCGTTGAAAACCCATACGCAAACACGATCATTGGTAGGACAGCGATGCGCAATGACGCGGGAGACAGCGTCCTCGGACGCGACGCCGCGCGTCGGCACACTCATACACATAGTTAATTACAAGTATTCGTACAAGTGCTTACGACGTACTGTTTTTTAGTTTTTTTTGTTTTTTTTTTAGTTTTTTCTTTTTTATTAACGCCTTCTCTCTACTCGGTAAATTGACTATGAATTATCCCGTTGAGAATTTTACAGGTTTCAGTCGGGGCTCTCGGTGCGTGGAAAGTTCTTTTCCCCGCGAAAGAGGCGCGACGACGTTGCCACGATGGCGGCGCGTGCACGAGAACGACGAGCGTGCACAAACCGATCGAAAAGCCCGTCCGAGTCTCTTTTCGATCAGACAATCTCCGATTCAATCTCTTCACTCGTTTAATCGCTCGTCCGCACAATCGACGAAATTTCAAATCGTTTGAACGACTCTTTCGAGTGGCCGATAAAAAAAAAATTTTCCTAATAACTCTTCTAACAATTTTCTCTCGGAAAAGTATATTTTTTAATTTGTTTTGACAAAATATATATTAAATCAGATCGATCTCGCGACTTTCGAACGAATTCTCTTATCGGAAGAGATCGCGTGAAACCTACCGAAGGGGATCCAATCCCATAAACGGTAACCTCCGTAAATTAGTTTGTTTGATCTTCGCGCGAGAAGTGCGGAAGAAAATTATTCAAGAGATCAACTTTTACACGGGTGAAAAGTTCGCGTCACACCGAACTTATTCGCGATGACTAGATAAGAATTTCGCTCACGTTCTTTTCACATCTCGACTCCTCGCGCACGCGTACCTCGTGCATTTCGCGCGCCGTGTTTCCCTCACGCGCTTTCGAATTCTCTTCTAATCTCCTTCGATGACGTAAAATAAATATTAAAACTATATATCGAGATATATCAACGGTGAGCATAGTTTAGCGAATGCGAATTCTCATCTCTCGTGTTTGTCTGTATGTTCGTACGTGTATCCTCTGTATGTATATGTAATAATATATATATATATTTGTATTTATATTTATATATATATATATATATTTATATTTGTATTTATATTTAGACTTTATGTCCGCTATGTTATAATTATAATAATTACATTACGCGCGCGAGTTTTCTCTCTCTTGCTTTCTTTTTCTAACTCTCGGACTTTCTCTCGTTAATTTCTTTTTTTAATCTTTTCCGCAATCGTCGTGCGCCCTTATATATATATATATAAATTCATATTTATATATAATATATATATATATATATTAGAATATATATTTAATATAATATAATGTACTATCAACTAGTGAGGATGGCGGATGGGCGATGACGATGATAGTGACGACGGTGAGCCGATGTCGCGACAACTAACGATATCTTAACGATAATTTCTATTATGGCAGACTATCTACGGTAAGAATCGTCCGTTTCAGGAGAGAGACGTTGTGTTGCTTCCGTTGGGATTCGTTCCGGGATCGAAACGAAATAACGAGGATGCGTGCGAAGAAGAACGAGGAAACGAAGAAATTCGCGCGGCGGAAATTGACCCGCCGCCGACGAATCATGACACCGAGATAACGTCGTGTGTTGATGTATGCGTGCGTGCGTGCGTAATGTGTGCGTGTGTAATGTATGTATGTACGAATGAGGAAATATGTTTGTGTAAATGCCCATGATTAACGTCGTTACAACACATCTAACGTCGTTTCGATTCGCGTCGACAAATAAATAAACGATCCCGGGCTGTGCAAGGGGGACGTATGACATGTCAATCTACGATTCGACACTGACGACACAACGACGCGATATATACCTACACGTATATATATATATGTGTATATATATATATATATATATTGTGTACATAAGTATACGCGCGGAGATGATTTTCCTTCCCACGACAACGCGATATTTGACAAATGATATCTCGATACGATTCGTGAAAGGAGTGGAGTGGATAGAGGGAGGAGATTCGTTAGAAAAAGTCTCGTCGCGTAATATCTTTGGATTTTTCACTACGTATGTTTTTTTTTTGTTTTGTTTTGTTTTGTTTTGTTTTACGTATGTATAACGTACTATACAGATAGGTGTGATGCGGCGACTTGCTCCGTGTCTTGATTGCCTCTATATAATCACCTTCTACATATCTACCGTCGCATTATCGCAACGTTCGTGTGTGTATTACACCTTTACGAACCCCTTCCCCCTCCCCCCCCCCGTTTGTGTTTGTCTCGTGTGTTTGTGGCGTGCACGCATCGCGGATGACACGACGTGGCACGTCGCGACGCGACGTTGACGCGACGTGGCACGACGTGTGACATCACGTGTGTCACCAGTACTTTCACTACGCCGCACAACTACGAGGAGAGGCAGTCGTCTATCTATCTCGGTACGTCGAAGATTCGTCCTCTGGCCGAAGGGAGACTATCTCCCTTCTCCCTCGGGATCCTCCGAATGTTCGTGACAAGATCCCCGGGAGCCGTCCGTCCAATCGTGACAGATCGCTTAAGGTCGCACGAACACTCTCATTCGGATGATATGGACTCGTGTGACTCGATGGTGCGGTATGGGTGTACAGACTTGACTGTTGCGTGTGTCGTTGATTAGTCCTCCTCCTCGCTCTCCTCCGCCGGACCGTACATGTCGGCAAGTTTGTCGAATCTCGGACCCCAGGCGCCTAGATATTCATACTCGTGCTGCTCGTCGTCCGTACCTGTGATTAAAAACATTTTCACAATTTGAAAATTATAATAAATTATTAAAATTCAAATTATATTATATTACAATTGTAATTATATTATTTGCGTGTCAAAAACTTAAACAATATAAATCTTTTCGTTCTTCGAAATTTTATTGCACACACAAAAGTTATAGTTCGTGTTGTATAAAATTATCTTTTTCTCTTAGAAAATCAATTCTCTTCACGTACCGGAAGCTAGTGATTCCAGAGAACCCGCCGTGCTTCCGCCGCCCTCATACGCGTAATTCCGTAAATCGTCGAATGGCGGAGCGTTCGGATCGCTGTCGGCCCTTTTCTTGTGATCTTCGATAAAGATGCCGACGTTGGGCTCCGGTCCGAGCGGATCTGCAGAATTGATCGAATTTTAATGCTTCTATTCTTGACATTCTTGTAAATTTTTTGTTTTTGTTGAATTATTAAACAACACAAGTACGTGAACGTACAGGCTACTTTACACGGAGGTAGTTTGCCGCCCATTTCCGGAATCGGGCCGCCGATCGGGATCTGCAAGGGCGTGATGTCGAACGCGGTCATGTCGTCCTCTCCGCCACCCTCGTCGTCGTAATTGATGATATTTTCTCTCACATCGTCGTCCGGACCGGGATACTTTATGTGCGCCTCCCGTCTTCTGTTGTAAACGACGAATACCAACACGAGAACTGCAATATTGAACATTAACAAAAATATTTAGAGCCAAAGGCTGAGAAAGTTTGCTTGTTATCAATATCAAAGTGATACTTCCTCTGCCGGGAGATCAAGTAAGTGTGGAGAGTGTAACAAAACTCCACTGCGAGAATTACGGGATTGTACGATGTTGCAATGTGTACAAAGCGGGTGTCAGTCTTATCAGTTGGGACATCGTTTTTTTTTTTTTTTTTTCAAAACGAAAGCTTATCAAAGAGAGAAAAATCTCGCGTGTGCGCAGTTTTATTAAGCAATTTGTAAAAAGCAAATGTACAAGCGGTTTTTTTTTTATATAAGTGCAAAAGAAAAACAGATAAATTAAATAAAACAAACATAAGCTTTCGTATAATCAAATTTGTTTTATTTATTTATTTTATTCATCGATCGATGTGGCTGCCGCAAAAATGAGAACTGAAACATAATTAGAGACGTGCTTTTGAACATAAAATAAAACCAATTTGCACCGTAGTAAAAATCAAAGTGTTGTAACGAAAATAAAAGGCGTGCGTTATTGACAATCACTTGATCAACTTCGATTATACTAACCAAGAATGATCAAGAGACAGACGAGAATAGCCGCTAGTGCCCCCATGCTAAGCTTGAGCGTCTGTCCTTCCTGAACCAATTCGCAGTTCTCGCCCCAAAATCCGTCCGGACAGATGCATCGGTAGCGAAATCGCGGATCCTGATTGATGCATCTGCCACCGTTCAGGCAGGGATAGTCTATACACTCATTTTTGTCCATGCATCCTTTGTTGTCCGGCGACGGAATCCTTCCCTCTCCGCAACTGCGACAAACAATCGCAATAGATTGATATAGTTTCGAAAATAAATGAGTTATAGACAAATACTCCCGAGAAAACTAATTCACATGACAGGAAAGAGTAGAAAAACAACACGTGACTAAGATAATGTGACCGTAATGTATATTATACATAACATTAAATAATATATATGATATAAATAATATATTAAATAATATGTATTATACATATAATTTATTATATATTTATAATGTTATACTTTATATTATATACTATATATATTATATACGTACTACCGTAAGGTCACTGACTTCGGTCGCGTGACTGCGGCGGGGTCAATGACCTCGGTCGCGCGACTGCGGCGGGGTCACTGACCTCAGTCGCGCGACCGCGGCGGGGTTAATGACCTCGGTCGCGCGACTGCGGTGGAGTCACTGACCTCGGTCGCGCGACCGCGGCGGTGTTACTGACTTCGCACGTGATTACGGTATATATATATATATATATATATATATACATATAACCAATCGGCAACGCGGAAAAGTGGCAAACAATAGATGTGATACGTTCGACTCAAAAACGCGCAGTTCGCGGTACACATAGATTTTTTAAATGAAAGATATATGAAATATTCTATTACCGGAAAAATAAACAACACTTACGTGCAGTCGTATTCGTTCCAGAGATCAATGCACTCGAAGGGATCTTGACAAATGACGTTGGCGCACGGTTTGTTCGACGGACAGTTTCTTTCCAGATTGCGCGCCATCGTCGCCTGTCCCCACTGAGTCCCGTTCATAGCTGGCGGTAACGGAAGATGTTTTCCTTCTAATCTTATGTCATCCAGACAGCCTATAAAGATTTAAACATTTGTTTAAACACAGTGTGGAATAAAAACGCATTGTATTTTGAGATTTTTCCGAAATGGGAATTACCTTTCTGATAGTCCGCGTAAACTTCGAATGTGCGAACACCGGTGTATTCCGCCTTGCCACCTGCGTAGACGCCTTCTTGCTTGTCCACCAGAAGCCACTGATGGCCTTCGAAGGAGAAGGTTTCGTTGAATCTTCGTCCCTCGCCGCCGTCCAACTCCAGAGTTGCCGCGGATCCGTATCTCGACACTCTGACCGTGTGCCACTGTCCGTCATCGACGGCTATTGCCGATAGCCAGATATCTCGCTCCTCGGTTCTGAGACTGTTCAGATTATACCTGAAGTGCAATCTGCTGTCTTTGATCTGCAATTAAAACGGAACAGATTTTTTTTCATCACAGTTTTTTTTTTCATTAAATCTTGAAAATTAAATCTGAAAAATTTTTATACAAAACTAAAACTCACCTCCAAAATGGCGTATTCCCTGTTGTGCTGATCGCTCACTCTGAACAGTTCGCCGTGAATCTCTCGAGTGCGGAATCTCAGTTGCACCTGAGTGGAATATTTGTCCGGTTCGAAGGATAGCGCGTACTTGACGTAACTCTGAGGCTTGAACGTGGTCGGAATCGTCGGCGTCATGCAACCAGGACCGGTCCAGCCGGGATTGCACTGACATCTCGCCTCGGTGAAACTGCCCACGCAAGTACCGTGTTCCCAGCAGCGGAAGGTCGATTCCTGATTGTTGCAGATCTCTTCCGTTTGCGGACAACCGGCAACGCTGTTTCTCGACAGTCCCGGATGAGCCAGATCGTACAGCTTGCTGTTGTGGAATAAATTCTTGATGCAGCCGTCGAAGCCCTTCCCCACCGGCATGTGCTTCCACTTGTAGTGCGTCGGATCAAATTGCTCGACATAGAGACCGCCGATTTGCAGGGGCGCGTTAACGTTCAGGTACTCATTGAATGGCGGCACTGTGCCTGTAGCTTGACAACTGGTGTCGTTGAATTCCGGCGGGCTTCCGTCCTCCAGCTCGGAGATCTCGGCGGATTTGCAGTAATCGATGATGAGCTTCACAGTCTGCGTCAAATAAAAAACAAATTTTTCTTTCTTTGTTAATTTATATTACAAGATTTTATTGCAAGATAAAATTGTTTTTTTAATACGGTAAAAACAACATTGCGTGTACATTGAATCTTGCGATTTTGTTTTTTTTTTTACCTCCGTATTCCAGAAAATATCAAGCCGATGCCACTCGCCGTCGTCCAAGGTCTTCTTCGGTTTCACTTTCAGTTCCAATGTACCCGATCCAAAATCTATCAGCAGTCTCGGTATACCGCGTTCCAACTCGACCGAGATAAAATCTGTCGACGCGTGTTTTTCGTGCGATCAATCGATGTGCGCTTGATTATATATAACATTATTTCGTATAAAAAAAAAAAAAAGACTCTTACCAGAAACCATTACTTCGTCGACTTCGGGAGGCACAATCGGACCGTTGTACAGCAATAAACCGTCCGACTTTCTCGTGATAAACTCGAAGCTCAAGTGACTGTTATCGCACATCTCCAATGCGGGATACCACGCCCAACCGTTGCCTCGGAAGCTTCTGGCTGTTTGCTGACATCTCGGGCCGTTGTAGCCAGACGGACATTGACATCTGTAATAAAGAAAACGCGAGATAAGTTATTAAAATGAGATCTGATTTTTTTGAGAAAATCCATGCGCACAAAAATTTCACTCAAAGCTTTATCACGTCACTTACGATAATCCGAATCGGTCTTCCACGCAACGTCCGCCGTTGTAGCAGGGACTGTTTCTGCAGGACTCGCCCTTGCTGAAATTCCGCGCTCCGCATGTACACTCGGCTATCACGTCAACGCGCACGCCGACGAGAGCGGTTCTGTTTGCGTTCACCATGTAGGGCAAGTTGCTGATGTCGAGGGTGTTCGTGCAGCTGCCTTCGCACATCTCGTTCTCGTAGTAACACTCGTCGATGCCGACCATCGTGATGTTGATACCCACATCTTTCTCGATCTGTCGAACACGCGCATTCGATTATCGCCGCGCGTCAAACATTTGTTCGAATTACATTAAGTTTTTTTTTTTTTTTTTTTTTGAATATCGAGATGATTTTCAAAACGTTACCTTGGTTGAAAGACACTCACCTCTTCGCGGTGCATAAGTACAATGCCGTTAAGCCTGACCGGTTTGTAATAAAGAGATCCGTGCGCGGCAAATCTGATGTCCGTCAATGGTGGATGCACTCTTCTTAATTGAACGTTAAAAACGTCCACGTTATCCCTGTCTATGTTCAACAAGTGCGACAGTTTGTCCCTAAACAGATCCGCTTTACTCCGGGACAGAGTTTGATTCTAAAAAATCAATTACGAGATAAATTTCGATAAAAATTTCGAAGCTGAAAATTTATAAATTTTGTCATTGTGCGATTACTCACGTGATAATTCCACACGCGAATGAAGTCCTCGTCCGTTATTCCGGATATTCGAACCGAGCCTGAATTCAGCACCGCATCGTGCGGAATGCTCTTGACGGTTACGGTCACGTTCGCGGGCACGTCCGTCTGCGTGTGCTTACGATCGTAAACCTTAAACCGCAGATGATACTTGCCGTCGTGCGTGCCGGACTTCATGTAAATCATCCCCGTGTCCTCGTCGAGTCTGAATTGCGCGTGTTCCAATCCCTCCCAGTAGAACTTTTTGTCCGGCAAATCCCAGTCGTCCAAATCGTACACGTAAACTCTACCTATCTCGGTATCAGGCGATTGTCCCTGAAGAGTAATGTTTCAATTAATATTTTATCGATGTAAAGAGAAATCACAATATATAAACGTGAGCGAAGGTCGTGGAATTTAACACAATTTGTTTAAAAATATTCTTGATATGAGAGCAATTTACGTAATGTAATGTAAATACGTACTGCGTAGTTATATACAAAGATTTCCTTGGAGCCAGGTTGCATTTTATTATCGTTAACATCCCCTATGATAACGGTCAACGTACTGGTTCCGGACATAGAAGGATTTCCGGAATCCTTGATGACAATGGGGATCAAGAATTCCTTTTGCTGTTCTCTGTCGAAGGATCGTAGGGACGACACCACCGCCATTCCATCCCCGTTAGCTCCCTCTGAAAATTTACGAGAAAATGATGTTTGAAACGTAAAAGAACAAAATTGTGACAAACTTAGAACAATTGTTTATGGAAAAGAAATTAAAACTGTTTTTTTTACAAGCGTGATAAATTTGTTATTACAAATCCTTCTTACTGTTATCGCTTTCAACTTTGAAGCTAGCCCGGATAACATCGTTGGCGTTCGGATCCATTCGGAAAGTGAACGGAGGACCGTTGCTCCTCGATCGATCGTCGTCGTCAGTAGCGAGAATTTCGACGACCTTTCTGGTCTGCGCGAATTCCGGCAAAACCGGACGATAGTCCTTGAGGAATCTTGGTGGATTGTCATTTATGTCTTGCACCACGACTGTCAGGGTGGCGGTTGCAGTTTTGGGCGGTATTCCGTCGTCGATCGCCAAAATTTTAACCTTGACGTGCGCAAGATTATAATTTTATATTTTAACAGTAAATTATATTTGAATTTTTTTTATAATTCAATAAGGTTTTTTTATAAATTTCACTTATTTATTTTAAGTATTTGTAATTTTTTTCTTATAATTGTTTAATATCTAAGAGAGCTCGGTATTTCTCTCTCTCTCTCTTTTTTTTTTTTTTTATTTACCTGATGCCGAGGAGTTTCCTCGCGATCAAGGCTTCTCTGTATCGAAACCGTGCCGTTTTCGTTGATGAAAAACTGTCTCTTCCGGTCGGAGCTTCTGTCGATGGAATAGGAGACCTTGCTCTTACCACCTTGATCCGGATCAGTAGCCTTGAACGTTTCCAGGCTGCTGCCTATTCGGGCGTTCTCCGGTACGGTGGTCTCGATATTGGCTTTCTCGAATTGCGGCTGATTGTCGTTGATATCTCGCAACTTCACGACCACCCAAGAGTAAGCAACGTGATATTTGTCGTTGTCGTTGTCCTCGCCCTGAAAAAACACAGGGAGGTGGTTTTTTTAAGAGTCGATCAAATCACGAAGAATATTTAATCTAAAATAAAATATATTCAATTATATTTGATAATATTTATTTTTACAACAACAAAAAAAAACACAGTGTATGTGTGTATCGAAAAATTCTCTCTCATTTTCTTTAACATCTTCTCTATCATTTTTCTTCTTACCTTATCGTTTACTTGTATCCTAAACCTAAAGCCGTTGCTCTGCAGTTGGTCCTCGTAATCCAGCGACTGTACAATTTTCAACGATCCCGTGCCGTCGTTGTTTCGCACCATGGTGAATTTATCGGCACCGTAACCGCTGCTCTCGATCACCTAAAAAGCCGTCGTAAAATCTTTCCTCAAGCCGTTCGAACATAATAATAGTTTATTAATATAAAAATTAATAGAAGAGAGATATCCGTTTTTTATTATTATTTAATTAAAAAAAAAAATCTCTCACTCACAATTTCTTCGTTTTTATTTACTAGATTTATTAAACAAAAATTATCAACCAAGGATTATGATCGTTTTGAATTAGTTATTTTATTCGTCGAAAACCGTTTTTGAAATGCCGAGACCGCAAGAAATACCTTGTATTGGAATTTATTGGTCTCGTCCTCGTCGTGGACAGTAACGGTGAGTATCGGCATTTCCGGCAGATCTGGTCCTTCCGTCTCGTCTACTTCGGTAAACCACTCCTCCTTCGTGAATTGTGGCGGCATGTCGTTTATATCTTTGACCCGTATCGACGCCGTCCCGGTGCCTGAAAAGAAAATACGCGCTGCATACGTGCCGCTTTTCTCGACTCGGAATATCAAGCGCGCTAAAGAACACTTAAAATATGCAAAACGACATTGCGATCGCGCGTCCGGAAATGTCTGTAGCCGTTTTATTCACGCAGCTCGGTTCGGACTTCCAACTTTATACAGATGAATGCTCGAAACTGTAATGTGACTAGCGAACGACACGCGCGAACACAATTCACGTCTACATTTTATTGAACGACCGTATAAACTATATACGTGTGTATAGAAAGAAGTATATAAATTTATAACAGTTGCGTGTGCGCGTAACATTTGCTGTTACGTTTCCAATACGCCCAATATTTTCTGTTCAATAATATTACACGTACAAGAACTAAAATAAGGTTTTTTTTCATATATTTTATATTTTATCGCAGAGTTAAATTAATTCTTATTTACTTATTTTTCGATATTGTTTAACAAACATACAAGAGAAATTTATCATTATGTATGTTAAATTATTAATTATTAATAATATAGTATAGAATTATTAATTATTAATAATCAGAAATTTATTTATTTATTATTAATAATCAGAAATTTCAAAAAAAAATATTTAACGTTGAACTTGTGCGCGGGATTGTAATAATGTCGTTAAAAATTTTTTACCTTTTAACCCTCCTCCATCCATCGCGACGACCTGTATGGAATAGTCCGGTGTGCGTTCTCTGTCCAAGCAGCATACTGCGGTCTTGATCACGCCAGTTTCCGATTCGATCTCGAATATAGGCGAGCCAGTTTCTTCCTCGATAACATTTTTCTCAATAGAGTAGATTAGTCTTGCATTTGTGCCTTCGCTCGGATCGTCGTAATCCACGGCTGTCATCGTCATTACCACCATTCCTAACGCGGGAGACGAGGAACACGAGATTTAATTACGAAGTTCTTAATTCTTTAACGAAGTTACAATTTTTCTTTTTCTATCATTAAATTTCTCTAATCTATTAATGAGAAGTTATATTAAATCTTAAAAGCGCGTTCCTTTTATTTTCCAACAACAAGCAATGTCTCGATAAATCTTTCAATTTCAATTTGCTTAAATTCAAACGAACAAGTTTTTAATGAATAAAGTTAACGAAACGCGCCACGTAATATCCCCGGAAATGCAATGGCGCACGCGTACGTGCCGATCGCGTTCGAATCTCTGACAAACCTGCGGTGCCGTTTTCGGTAACATTTCCAAAGTAGACCCCCTGCGGAAATATCGGGGCGTTGTCATTGATGTCCTTTAGGTTAACTTGAACGTCGGCGTAACCCACGAGACCTTCCCCGCCCTCGTCCTGGGCAAACACGGTGAATCGCCATTGCGGCCGGCCATTCGGTTGATCTCTGTCCAGCGGCTGCAGCCGGGAGAAAAAGAGGGAGTCATGCGAGGATATCCTTTGAGGAGTCAGTCAAATATAGGATTCCAGCGAGGATGCCGTGTATTGACACAGTCTTTACTCGGAGCTCAATATCGGTTCCGATATTTGAATTATTCCATCGCAATATTGCGTTGCACGACCACGTGCACAAATATGTACAATAGCTATAGAGTCACAGAAGAAGAAGTAATTTCCGGGCCGATCAAGTGTTATATTACGCCATATGTTCGATTATTATCGATCTTAATCTTGTTTCAAACGATCCAAAATCTTTGTGACAAAGTGGCGCGCGTGTGCGTTTCGCCGCACTGAATCGAAATGCTCTTTCAAAAAATTAATTTTATGCACAAACTCGTTTAGTTGTTTAATTGATTTTATAATCGGTGATGAGAAATTACCAGTTATTCAAGTTAAAAGTGTTTTTTTTTTTTTTATTTCTAACGTTAACACCTCGAATTTGTATGTGCGCGTAATTGTCGGTCTACCGACGTATATATCGATTTAGTTACAAACCTTCAGGACGTAGATTTCTCCGCTCGTGCGGTTGATGTCGAACTTGCTGTTCGCAGGATTGTCGGGATCGATACCTTGTCCGGTTAAGAAGTAGACAATGTTTTGCGGCCTGTCTTTATCCCCGTCGGTCGCGGTGACCTGAAAATTAATTACGAAATTGTTGGCAAAATCGCTCGAACGCGAACGCAAACATTTATTCAGAATACATAATTATTCAGAACACATAATTAGGAAGTTCTCGATGTACAACGAGATTACATAAGGAGAGCAATTACCCCGAGGACGCGTTTCGGCAGAGTTCTGTCGTCCTCCTCGGTAATTTGTGTTCTGTAATTTGGTCGCTCGAAGACGGGAGGGTTGTCGTTTACGTCCTTCACATGAATTACAACCGTCGTGTAATTCTCCTTCAAGTTGTCCGAAGCAGTAAGCCGAAGCTCGTACTGTAAGAGACACACACGCGCGAAGTTGTTGACTTTTATCGTGCAACTTATTCAACTTTCAAATAATCATATTATCTCGAAGTAAATGAAGAAAAAGAGATTGTATATTCTCTTTTGTTATCGGTGCTTTTTTTTTTTTTTTTTGAAAAACAAAAAATCTAATCGTATTTCGCGTGTGCGCGCACATATATTTTGTCGAACGGAGAAACTTACTGGAACTTCTGAATGAAGAAAAGCAGCCGAACAAAAGCAAAAGAGCAACAAAGTACGTACGGAAAAGCCGTACGAGCATCACGCCCGAATGACATTTATGGTAATACCAACCCTTTTCCTCGTCTCGTAGTCCAGTGCACCCGCTACGTAAATGGCGCCGGTCATGTTTTTCACGGCGAATGCACCGCCTATGTTCCCGCTCGTGATCTCGTATCGAATACGCGAGGCTGCGACAAAGAAAGGAAAGTGCTTTTAATAAAACAAGGGCGCAACTCTCTTTCTCTCTCTCTCTCTTTCTGTCTTTCTCTCTCGCTTTCTTTCTCTTCTTCCGAAGAGAGCGCGTTGTAATCGAATGAATCTCGAGATAAAAGTTGCTGTCGCAAGAGCGTGAGTTTTATCGAATAAAGAAACTTCGGACGGCGCTACACGCCAAGAGGAAATCGCCTTCGATCGATCGTCATTTGAACTTTTATTCCAATACTGCCGATCGACCTCGCGATAATTCGCGCTTTACGTCGTGATATAGACGACGTGAACTCCCGGTATGAAAGTTGCCGAACAAAAATGGTATTTCGGTTAAATTCGATTTCCAGATCGTGTCGGACGATAGGATACATCAAATTTTACCTTATCTCGTTTTAATTTTCAGAAGAAGAAATTTTATTCGCGGCATTGTCACGGCGATAGCGTCGTCGAAGATAAACTACGTGTCTCCTTTTGTACAGACACACACACACACACACACACACAGTGATTTTGATATATAATTGTAACATCGCGATAATTTGTTGTAATCACATAATTATTTTACACAAGTAATAAATTTGTTTAAATGTGATATAATTTACGTTAATAAAATTGTAAAATTGATTACGTGTAATATATGATAATGATTATTGCACTCTGTGATTTTTAACGTGATAAATAAAATTAATTTTAAAATTGCACACACACACACACATACACAGAGGAGAGTGATAACATTAATTTAATGTGATAAATTGTAATTATGTAAATATCGCATTTTACTCTATTTTCATGTGAAGCTCGTGTATTCTTTTTTTCTCGCAAAATTGCATTGTAGCCACGCCAATTTGGAAAAGAATGCAACTTTGAATCAAATCGTTTATCTCTCGCGCGTTGTTTGTTGCAGCGAACGATATCAATTTCGAAATCAGTATTTATCAAGCCGTAAATTAAACAGTTTCAAAAACACGAGAAATCGCATAATGGTTTATTTATATAATCTCATTACTCAGGAAAGATCACACACATATCTAAGCAGATTAAACACAAAGAGGTTTTATTCAATTTGCTTGCGGAACATATTGCGAGCAAGCTTTCCGCGTGTCATAATCCGTGAATTTTATTTGAGCTTAAATGCATTAGTCGCAAAGCAAACATACCGTCGGTATCTACAATGCCGTACGTTATTATAAAGTTTGGTTGTATTGTTATAATTGTTATACGCAAGTTAAAATAAATAATAACAAATTAATAGTAATAATTTTAATGTGTTTGCGAGCAAATACTCCGTCTGCGCAAATTCAAACACACGTTCTAGCAAATTACGCGTTGCTTGTGTAATTAAATGCTAAAACGTAGTTGGAGATATTTCACCAACACTCGCATAAACTGTAAGCAAAAAAAAAAAAAAAACAAAAAAAAACAAAAATAACGAGACAGTCGTCAAGTGTGAGTTTTAAACAATCGGATACTTACACTCGTCGTGATCTTTGGCGGTGACGGTGAGCACCGTGTGCTGAATGTCCTCATTTTCGTCTACCTCTGCCTCGTAGAGGCCCTTGTCGAAGTACGGGGGATTGTCGTTCTTGTCGGCTATCCCGATGCGAATGAATTTCGTTACTGTAACACAAAACAAAAATTCGTACCATCAGACCAGCAGCTTTTGATCCGCTCGCTATAAATGTTTCAATAAATCAAAAAACGTGCAAAATGCGCCGTATCACCGTAAATTTAAAAGTCCAAGTCTTCATTTGCAGAAAGTTAATTTACGAGTTCTATTACAAAAAAAAAAAAAATAAATAAATAAACCAATCGCCTTTCTCACAAAAGCGCACGTTGTATTCGCATCCCGGTAAGATGATATCGGAACCACTTCTAAAGAGATAGAAATAGAGAGAGAGAGAGAGAGAGAGAGATGCGCCCGAGCAAGAGTTTCTTTTAAGTACATTTCGAATCTATTTCCCCTCGGGGAACGATACCGCGATGTGCTTCACATGACAAATGCAGCAAACATAGCCCGCAGGCGTTCCTCTGCGTATTCGACGCGAGCGCGAAATTCTCGCACAACCTGTTATGTAGTCATATTTTTTTGAAATTCTCTGAATGGGAGAACCTCGGGTGTAATATTTTATATAGCGCTCCTTCTCCTCGCGCAAGACGTTCTCTCGCGAAAACGTTCTTGCGAAAAGTGTGTTGCCGCGCATAATCTCAATTACGTATTCAAATCTCAACTCGAAGGAAACGAAACTTTCTATAAAGCGCGCAATAAATTTCACAATAATCCACAGTTGCGCTCATTAAAATTCAACAATTCAACGCGATCGGAGAAAATTTTCATATATCCGCCAAGTTTCGCGAACACACACACCTCTTTGAAATAATTTTCAAACAAATCAATTACTTGTAAATAATAAATGAAAAAATGCGTTTGATGACCCGCGCGGTCGGGTGATGATGCGAACGTCATCCGCGAATGTCGCGGCCAACTTGATTTTTTTTTTTTTTTCGCGCATTACGCGTATTCTCGCACGTATAGTCGCGATCTTAATGCACTTTACGACGGAGCGCGAAAACTTGGATGATAAAGAACCCGGGAACCGTTAATCATTTTTTCGCCTCGCCGCGGAAATTTAAGATAGGCAATTACCGGTCGCCGCGGGCAAGAAAGGTTAAGTAGTTTCAGATAACGGCACTTCATTCCGGAAGTAGACATTTATTGATGGAACTAAGTTGCCGCGTGGGGTCCGAAGAAAAATGTATAATTGCGCGAGCTTCCTACCGGACTGTGGTACATTAAAAGCCTTTACCCCCGCGTTTTTCACGCAAGCAAGAAAGAAGAGAGAGACCGCGACAAACATCGGCAAATTTCGCACAATTTTACGCGGCGATCCAACAATGTTATTGTCATTTTCCGCGCGTTCGATTCGCAACGAGATTTTTCCGCGCAAAATTAATGCGGCAGTTTTTGTTTTCTCGTTATTAAAAAATTCAGACCACCGTGAGATAACGTAATTAACGATCGCTGCGGAAATTTAATTTTAATTAATCGCCGAATTGTTGAATCGACACGCGCTCGCACCAACGGCGATTTAAAACAGCGAACTGAGCCCGTATATTTATTCAGTGAAATCGATCGGCGTTTGTGTAGCGAAACGCATATGTAGATACTACGCGAGGCGCATTAGCAGCGAATTTCGTATCGTATTTGGAAAATGTATTTTCCTTCTATCCGTTTCGATGCCGAAACCGGTGATGTTGCGCCGCGGCCAATTTGCTCCGAGTATATTTCGCGTCGCGAAAAGACTCCCTCTCTCCCCATCCTATCCCCCGCTTGAAGATCCTGCTCGTTTCCTTCGCGCTCGACAAATACTCGCTTGATTAAGTTAATCCCGGATCTACTTCTCCTCCCTCACGAATGCGCGCGCGCTCGCTCGCAAAGTGTGATAGCTAGTTCAGAAACGAGGAGGAGCACGTGTGAACCTTAATGCCGGGAGAATGTATAAAGCTCGTTTAATTTAATTAAGAGTTAATTATATTCGGGAGAGAATCTTCGTCGGGAGATAATGTCCTTAAGAGAAATTAAGCTCGGGGCATTATTATTCTACAAATAGCGGATGCGATTTTGATCGCGCGGAAGGAAGGAATATAGCACCGCGCGCGTTTCCGCGGCGTTTGTTCGCTTTATATATATATATATATACATTCGCGAAAACAAACAGTTCGCTTTCGAATATACACATATTCGCGATTCTAAATAGAATAGAGAAAGAACAACCGTTGCAAATTTTACATGAATAACCAACGCGCACAATTGAGATTCCATCTCTCGCGCCGCGGAGAGATCGCGACGTTTCTAATCTAACTTTCTCTGCGCGCAAATAAACTCTCGTTTCGCGAGGACGAAACGTCGATATATATATATATATATATTTATATATATATGCGCGCAAGCAATTACGCGCAGCTGCGGGAGAACGAGCGCGCGTGGAAAATTTGTTATCAGATGCGCGACGTTAAATTTTGCCACGCGCGCGCGCGTTATTTGTAAAAATAAAAGAGCGTCGCCGCGTCTGTGTGTGTGTGTGTGTGTGTGTGTGTGTGTGTGAGTTTCGTTGGAAAATTTATCGCCGAACAACTACCGGAAAATAACCGGCTGATTTTCGCGGCTGAAGATCGCGCGATAATGGCGCGAGCGAGACATGATTGATTCGCGAAGCTCGTCGGCTCTCTTCCGTCGGCGATCAAGTTACGTTAACGCCAGACGCGCGTGCATATATTATCGGAAGCGACGATGAAAGGGGAGAGGGCTTTACGTGGAAATTTACGTAATGATAATTCATCATTGCGCTTATCGTAAACGTGTGTACGAGGGGGGGGGGAGGGGGAAAGACCCGCCGGCGGGTTGTACATCATTGTTAGCGGGGGAGAACGTCAGTTTTCCCTTTTAATAGATCGCGATATCGAGCTTTAGCAACGACGTACCTTTCCCAGTAATGCGAATCGTATTTCGGGCGGGATAATGCGATACTAGATTAACATATAATCGAGATAGATCGCGCGCGGCGAGCAAAAGGGGGAGGGTGGGAACTATTGTCGCTTCCGGAATTTATCTTCTTTAGAAAAGTTGTGAGAGAGATGCCGTACACATTCTGAAATTAAACGCGCACACTTGCACACACAATCTGCGCGCGCGCGTCTCGTTTACGCGCCGGGAAAACTTTTTCTTCTTCCATTCGAGCTGCTGCGTCTTCATTTTCGTCTCCAATCCCCCAAGTTTCTTGACGATCTTCAAAGATTCAACGCGTGTTTACTGTTTAAACGACGTTTTTTTTTTTTTTTTTTTTTTACGGGAACAGTATACGCTCGTTTAAAAAGTAAGAAAGTTGCCGGAATGAACAATCTTCTCTTGAAACGAGACGACTTCTTAATTAGAAATTGTAAATTTGATATGCTATCTCTCGCTGTAAACGTTTGTTGGGGAATTAAGAAAAAACGGTTAGAATAAAAAATAAAAAAAAAAAAAACTCTATTGAAACAATGTGCAAATATGCGCGCCGGGACAAATAATCGGGTGAATGTTAATGGAGATTTTAATTTTTGCATGCAACGCAATAGCGAAGTTTAATCAATATTAATGAGAGTCTCGCGAAAGATTCAAAATTATTACTGAAACGACCAAGTCATGTGCGCTAACGAGAGGATTAAGTTCCACGGGACGATAAAAAAACTTGACGCAAACGATCAAAGAGACAATTTTCTCTTGTGCATCCTGCGGCGCGTATCAGGATCTCTCCCGCCGGGAGAAGCTACATCCAATGACGGTCCCACGAAACGCGTTACTGGGCCACGGGGTAAGAAATCGATGAAGCCCCCACCTCTCTCTCTTTCATACAACCCTCTGTCCCTTCTGCCCTCCCTTGCATCGCCGAGCGTCGACCCAACGGCGCCGAGAGAACATTCGCTTCTTAGCCGCACCCTGCAACACTCGATTGGTTCCTAAAATACGAGCACCCTCGAGGCCTTTTCACCACTCTCGATTCCCGTAGAGGCAGAGGCGGCTCGTTAACGCCGAGACCACCCTCGAGGGTCGCCCGCCAGTCTGAAGTAACACACTGCTAAATTAAGGATCGACCTTGTACCGTCCGGGATCTCGCGCGCTGATTAATGTCGAGAATTTCTTTACAGCATATTTTAGGTACAATATCTCGATAATTCGTCAAAAATTCACCAGATGTCAAACGCAACGTTTTTTTTTTTTTTTCAAGATGTGCCCCCCTTTGTAGATTTTATACTTATTGCACGACAAATAAAAATATATCTTACGTTTTTTTTGAGAAAATTCAAGTTTGTTTATTTAAAAATGTAAGAAATCAAGTAACAAAATATAATAAAAGTTAAGATACGAAAAGTCACGTACTCTTCGAAACACGCAATGTATTCACGTGCGCATTAAGAGAGATTTAAATTTGCGCGTTAATCCTCTCGAAGAATAAAAATCTACTTTCGCGCAACCTTTTGATGTTGTTCCCTTCCGTAATTGTGTTTCATTTAATTACCCCCCGTGGACAATTATCGGAACTCTAAAGGACGGTTGCAACGCCGATTAGCAACGTCGATTAGCGCTAATCCTCATTTTAATTCAATTTTCTCGCTTCAACTTCGTTCGAAGCGTTTTCCCCGAAGAGCTCATTCGGCGCAAATGTATCCGGGTTTTTCTTTTGCAATGCCCGAGGGTGAATTTTTTACTCGAGTCTCTTTTTGAGCAACGACCGATCTCAACCGGAAATACCGGGCCGTAGAAACGAGGGAGTAGGGGTCATTGGAGAGCGGCCAATTAATCGATTAACGCGCAAATTACAATGTGTATATATATCATCGCGAAATACGGCTCGCGTAATCTCGCCGCAAATTTATAGCGATAGAGAGATACGCGCGCGCGCGCGCGCGCGATGTAAATTAATTATCCAGATCATCAACTCTCTCTCTCGCGTCGCGCGAAGTTTATTCGTCGCGTCGTGCGGTTCGAACGGCCGCGGAAAAAAATCGCGGCTTCGAAACTTCGTTGCACTCGTTAACGTAATTGGAACATGTCGCCCCATTTTCGTTCATAATCGCGTTAC